CAGGCATCTCCTTGGCACCCAGCAGTATTCAGCAGTATAGCTCACACAGGTGGTATCTGAGGTGCAGCTCTCCACAGAGCATGACATTTAGTGGGACACAGGAGCTGCTCTGGGGACCTGCTGTTTAGGACTCTAAAGGATAATATCTGGGACCTGGCCATCCAGGTAGTGCTATGGCGTGGGCACGGGGTATCAAGCTGAAGGCGGTTGTGTTTGTGGCATATGGATGTGCCCCTTCCGTTGGGCAGGCTTCCTGGGATGGGAGGAGACCTCAGGATCAGGGATGGCTGAGATATAAGCTTGAGACATGCAGCCGTCGGAGTGTGTCCTGGCCTGGGGGTGCAGAGCAAGGGATATGGCTGGGTGAGTGTGTCTCTGAGTGACTGTATGAAGAAATGTGGTTAGTCTGTGACGAATAGACGAACAGCAATGATAACTTACTCGTGCATTCATTCATCCAAACTGTACAAAACAGATGCAGCACCTGCCCTCAGGGAGCTTACCCTCAAGTGTGGGCTTGTAAAAGGCCAGATGGTGATAAATATTATGTAGGAAAGTAAAGAAGAGAAGGTTTTGGAGAGGGGCAAGGTGCTATGTGATTTGAGGTGATCAGGATGGCCTCACTGAGAAGGTGACATCTGAGCAGAGGCCTGAGAGAAGGCAGGCACAGACTGAGGACCCTCTGGGATCCAGATAGAGGGAAGAGCAAGAAGCGTATGCAGCCTGTTCTCAAAACATGAAGAGGCCAGTGTGGCCTGAGGTCAGTGAGTGAACAGGAGAGAAAGCAAGGGCTGAAGTCAGAGAAGTAGCCCAGCCTGGGGAGAGAGGGCCTGGAAACCAAAGTGATGTCCCTTGCCACCTAGTGAGACTGACCCAGCTGAGAGGTTGTGGAGCAGAGGAGGGGCAGAGTCTGACTTGGATGTTGACAGGACCGCCCCATCCCCTGGCTGTCTGTGGGAACAGAATGGGAGGGAGGACAGAAGTAGGAGACCAGTGAGGAAGGACTCTGGCCTCAGGGGGAGACGGAGGTGTGCTGGGAGGTGGCCTGGAGGGGGGCTGGATGAAAAGTGGTCAGATCTGCGTGTGTTGCAAAGGTAGAGGAAAGGTAGAGAGCAGCATTGCTGAGCATTTAGCTAGTCGGCCGCCAACAGCCGTATGAGGCCAATACTGTTATTACCCCTGTCTCACAGCACCTTCTGCAGCTCAGAACAATGAAGTCACTGGCCTGAGATCACACAGCAAGGAAACAGCAGATGCAGGATTCAAACCCAGCCCCACTGGCACTTGATCCATGTGCTCTACTGTAGCTACTTGTCTTCTGCAGCCTGTGGATGTCCGGGTTTTGAGTGTGGAGGTAGCGTTTGTCAGCATCTACACCAGTGCCTGCACGTAGTAGGGACTCAGAAAATCTTTCGGAGGGGTAGATGGGCAGATGAATGAATCCAGTAAATGAATGCGCTGCCCTGCCCATTTTGCAGAAGTGTACTGGGAGGCGGCCGTCCGGATCTGGCTAAGGTCCAGGGGAGAGGGCTGCATCTGGGGCTGGGTTTCTTTGTGGCATGAATGGGGGCTGGCCCTTGGCTGAAGGACTGGGTGACGATGTTGTTGGCTCAGGTTCGCTGGTATATCAGTGGTGGGGGTGGGAGTAAAGGGCTGTGTGGTATGGTGAGGGGATTTGGGAGCTTCTGGGGTCCTGAAGGTAGCTCCTGCAGGGAGACTGTGCTCAGTAGTCTGCCCTTGGGCTGGGGGACAGGTGCAGGAGGGGTGGTTGTGGCCAGCGGTGTGGGGGGGTGGGGTCAGCAGCGGCCCAGCCCGTTGTGCAGCGGAGTCTGTGCCACGAGGCTCGAGGCCGAGGCCGGGCTTGGCACAGCCCACACCCCCCTCCCAGGGCAGCCCAGCCATCAACCTTCCTCCCCCGCTTCCCCCACCTTCCCCTGCCGCCCAGAACCAATGGGTTAATTAGATAACGGAGCCTTTGATTAGCGGGGGAGGGGGAGGCCTCTCGGTGCACGGAAGGGGGTGCTGAAGAGGGAGGAGAGGCGCCCTCCCCGTTCAGAAGGAGAGAAAGAAGGAGGGAGGGGGTGGGGAGGGAGGGAGCTGAGGCACAGCTTGGCTCTGCACTGCCGTGTGACTAGAAATTGTAATCGCGGAGAAAGAGAGAGACAGAGCCTGGCTGGGAGAGACCAAGACAGACGGACAGACAGACAGAGAATCTGAACAAGACGGGCTCCCCAGCCAACGAGAGGGTGATGGGGACAGAGCCAGAGTGAGGAGGAGATGGAGGAGAAGGAGCGAGGGGGCCCGGTCTTCCCGAGGGAGGCGAGACAGTGAGGGGGAGCCTGCAAGGGGGGGCTGGGGCCAAGGAGGTGGACAGGGACAAGGCCAGGGGACTGGCAGAGAGGAGGAGGGGGCCGGGGGCCGTGAGGGAGAGAAGAGAGGCTGGTGGTTGGGGGAGAGTGGAGGTAGAGGTGGGGGTGGGGGTAGGAGACTGGAGGAGGCCAGCAGGGAGGGGAGGAGGAGACCGCTGCAGTGGCCTAGCTGGGCCTTCCCGGGGTGGGAAGGGCGACTGGCGAGGGGGGGGCGCGGGGAGACCCAAGAAGCCCCTGCGCCCCCCCCCAGCACAACCTCGAAGGAAGCCCTGGAGAACTGGGGAGACAGAGCCCCCCGCCGCCGGCTGGAGGCATGTGGAGGGGGGGGCCTGGGGCCCAGGGAGAGGCCCAGCGGAAGCGGAGCCACTGGGGTGAGTGTCCCTCACTGTGGGGTGGGGGACAAGGACGGAGATGGCTGAGGGCAAGGAGGGAAGGGGCGGGAGGCCCAGCCACTGCAGAAGCTGGGATGCGGGGGGAGGGATGGAGGCTGGCTGCTGGAGAGATGGTGACAGATGCAGAGGGAGAGACGCGGCAGCGGGGCAGAGGGAGAGACGCGGCAGCGGGCCTCGACCTCGACCTCGACCTCGGGTGGCTGCTGCGGGCATCCTGGCCTGTGGGTCCCTCAGCTGCAATTTCTGTCCCCCTTGAGCAGCACCGGCTCCCCGGGCTCAAAAGGTGTGGACTGGGTCATCTCTAGCCTTAGGAGGTGGGAAGGGAATGGTGGGTGCAGGATGAAGACCAGCATAGACCTCCCTGTCGCACTTGGGAAGCAAAGACCCCACTGTGCTCACATGACTCCCAGATAGAGACGCACACGGGCCCCTCCCCCCCCAGCTCCCCTTGAAGAAAAATGAGTCCAGGATACAGACTCAGAATCCACCCCTCCCCCCTCTTCCCTCTGTCCCTCTATCCCTCTGTCTCTCTGTCTCCCTGTCTCCAGCTCTGGCTCTCACACATGCATTCAGGCACACAGACTACGCACACACATTTTTATCTTGAACACTGCAGAAGGAGGAAGTGAGTGTGTGTGTGTGTGTGTGTGTGTGTGTGTGTATGCGAGCACACGCACGCTCACAGGGACGCACATGTACTCGCGCACTGGACAGGTAGGGGGGTGGTCCTGTGTCTGTGGGTCTGAGAGTCCGCTGTCAGTGGGCCTGACAGTGGGCCTGTGTCACTGATGTGGCTGTGCATGTGTGTGCAGACCACCTCCCTCTCCCCATCACTAGTGGGGAACTCGAGTTGGAGCTGGAGCAGAGCCTGCTGATGTGGGTACACTTGCGTATGTACTTAAGATGCTGTGTGGAAGGGAGAGTAGACCTAGGGCCACAGTCCCCCTCTGCCACCACCTGGCCAGTTCTGTGCGCGATGGAATGAGCTGCCCCCCTCCTAGAGCCTCAGTGTCCTGTTTGTAGATTGGGCATCCCAACAGCTTCCCGGTTTCTGTGAGGCTTAAATGAGAACACGGTGTGTGCAGAGCCTGGGGCCGAGAAAGGGCTCACCCTAACACAGAAGCTATTATTGTAGCTCTTGCCATTGTTGTTATGATCCGCGGGTCCTCTTTGGTAGGATCCTAACCCCACCCCGCCCACTTGCCACCCAGAGCTCTGCCCCAGCCCCTTCCCCTTCGGCTGCCCAGCACCAACCCGGCAGGCAGCCAGCAGCTGGCTCGAACCTACCAGACCTGCCTTCCACACATGCACCTGCAATCCCAGGGCCAGTGGGAGTGGGGGCTGAGGGTGTGGCCATCCCAGGCCCCCCTTGGCCACCTCCCCACCCTTGTCTTCTCCAGTCTGCTCCCTCCCGCCCACACGATGCCTCCCAGCCTCTCCTGCCCATACCTTACCTCCACAGTCACCTTGTCTGGCACCCTACCTTCTTCAAGTTCCTCCTTTGAGTCTAACTCAGATCTCTGTCTGCTGTGAGGCCTGTGGCCGGCTGGGCCAGAGGGGTGACCACAGTCTGAAGAGCAGCCTGTGCCTGGGCCTCCAGGGGAGGGTGTTTGGTGCCGCTGGGAAACTTGCCTCTTGCAATCACTCCTGGGCAGGCAGGGAGCTGGGTGAGGGGACAGGAGGTCCTGCAGGTGGTGAGGGGACTTGGATGGACCTGTGAGGGAATCCAGAGTCCAGGCCGCAACGCCCCCTCCCCTCACCCCCTACCCCGCCAGGCTTCCCGACCTGGAGACCTGGCATGCCACCCTTCCTCTGTCCCTTCGTCTGTTTGTCTCTCTTCTTCTCCCTCCATCTCTCTTTCTCTACCTTTCTGAAACCATGCAGAGAACTAAGTTTTGAATCTGACTGACTTCTCCATTCCTGGCCAAGTGCCTTGGGCAGCCTTTCTCTCCCCACCCCACCTCTGCCTCCATTGTCAGTTCTGCGAAACAGGTATAATCTTTGGGTCAGGAATGACATGAGACAGTGCAGGAGGGCAGGGCTAGCCCCTCTCTCTGCCTCCTTCAGTGGTGGGTTGTCCCTCCATGGGGCTGAGGGAGCCCCGCGCTTTGGGTCCTGAGCAGAGCAGGGTGGTGATGGCAACATCGGTGGCAGAGAGCTGCCTGGGGGTGGGGAAGCCGGGGTGCCACACAGGGTCCCTGTCCCTCACTGAGCCTCTCCCTCTCTCTCCCCACAACAGCCCCCCGGCGCCCACGCGGAGCATGAACATTGAGGATGGCGTGCGCCCGCAGCTCCCCGTGCCCCCCACTGCCGCCCGGTAGGATGTCCTGGCCCCATGGGGCCCTGCTCTTCCTCTGGCTCTTCTCCCCACCCCTGGGAGCCGGCGGGGGCGGCGTGGCCATGACGTTGGCAGCCGGAGGGGGCTCCCCGCCGGCCACCTCCTGTCCCGCGGCCTGCTCCTGTAGCAACCAGGCCAGCCGAGTGATCTGCACGCGGAGAGAGCTGGCTGAGGTCCCAGCCAGCATCCCTGTCAACACGCGGTACCTGAACCTGCAGGAGAATGGCATCCAGGTGAGCTGGGCCGGCAGCCAGTGGGGGTGGGGGGGGCACACAGATGGGGAGTAGTGGCAGTGCACAGGTGGTGGCTGGGTTCCTCCTGCTTGAGCTGTGGGTATTCCCTCCAGCTCTTCATGGCCGTCCCTTTGGCACTTAGGTTCTGTTTGCATCCTATTAACTTGATCTCAGCCTGTCTGGGATCCCTATCTTTGTGCCAGCCTGTTGGGCCTCTGGGAAGGACCACCTGCCTGCCTTCCACAGCTCAGGACAGGCGAGCCCTTGGCCTGGCCCCGGACTCACTGGTATGCAGAGTGACTCTGGCACAAGGCATCTGTGTGCTCTGCAAGGCTACACCCACTGCAGGGCCTTGGGCTTGTGAGGGCATGACTCTGTGCCTCTGTTTCTTCATCTGAAAAATGGGGATGACAGAGGACCTGCCTCAAGGGACTGGAGGAGGGCTGATGGTTTCATACTTGTCAGGGACTTATAATCTTTTGTCACCTGGCAAGCACTAATCTGCTGTGCAGTGCGGAGCTCATGTGCCCAGAGGTGGTGTGACATTTGGAGATCTCAGCACTCCCACATGCCTAGTCCCATGTCAGCACATGGCTGGTGCTCCAATCGGACACTTGCCACCTGATTAATTGAGACTATGGCTAAGGTGGACTATATATGATGCTGTGAGGGCAGAGCTGTGCTTTTTTAAAGCAGGGTCTCTCTTCTTTTCTATTGGCATTTGGGGCCTGATTGTCTCTGGTTGTGAGGGCCATCCTATGTGCTGTAGGATGTTGAGCAGCATCCCTGGCCACTAGATCCTAGTAGCACCTTCCCCCACTTTCCAAAATGTCTCCAGATGTTGCTAGATATTTGGGGAAACAGAGGGATTGCCTAGTTGAGATCCACCATTTTAAAGGCATGTGGTCAGTGCCCCACACCATGCAAGCCTCTCCGAACCCTGGTGCATAAAGCCAAGAGAGGAGAGGGCTCCTGTGTGATGTCCCAGGCCCCTGGGAGCTAACATTTCCCTTCTCCATGGCACGTCCTGGTCTGTCCCTGGAAGGGGAAGGGGTCAGTGTCTCCCATCTCACTGTCCTGGGAATGGGTTCCCCTCTGCAGAAGAGGGGGGATCTTTTAGGGGCACAGTGCCAAGGGGGCTGCCAAAGTCAAGAAGGCCGTCATGGGTGGCCACAGGGCAAGGACCCAAGCCAGAGCTAGGATCCAGAGACAAAGAACCTTGTCCCATTGCCCCATACCTGCCCCCTCTGGCTCCAGGCCCACCTCCCAGTGTGCCTGGAGTCCACCCTACATTCTCAAGCACCGGTTTAAGCTGACCTGCCCCTGACTCCCAGAAGGGGGCCAACACCCTCACTTCATTCTCCCCGTACACACCTTTGTTCTCTGGACACTGTCTGTCCCTCTCCATCCTTTATTTTACTCCTGTGGTGATCAGTACGTGGTACCAGCGCCAGCTCTGTGCCCAGCCCTGTGTTAGGTCATGACCAGGATGGGCAGGACCCTTCCCTGCTCCTGGGTGGCTTACCTTGCAGAAGGGAATAAACCATGAACAAATGGGATGGCACATTACCAGAAAGGGAGATGTTAGAGCGTCAGGAGGTACATCTGTGCTCTGGGGCTACTGAGCCCACCCCACCAGCAGCCCAAAGCCACAGCAGTGTCTCCTCGATAGAACTGGCCCGTTTTCTCTTTGGGGAGTTCAGTGAACAATTCAGTCCAGCAAACATTTGCTGAGCTCTGCATGAGGCTCCACCCATAGACTCATAATGGCAACCCCAGCAACACTTCCCCAGCCCCGCCAGCTCCTACCCGCATGCCCAGTCGAGCCTCCCAGTGGCCACTGAGGGGTGCTCACCTCTGCCTAGAACCCTCTGAAGGTTTTTGGACTCTGGAATGAAGTCCAAGCTCTTTATTGTGTCTTTATTGTGTCTCAAATTCTACATGGCTCAGCTCAGCCTGCCAGCCTCAAAGTTGATACCAGGTGCCCTCCCAGGGCTGAGCAGTTGTTCAGGCCACACTTCTGCCTGAATACGCCCTTGAATCCCGCAGGTGAGACTCCCTTCACCACCTTCCAATCTGGGCCCACAGCTTCCCCTTCCAGACATCCGTGCCCTTGCCCTGGACACTTGTGTTTGTTAAATATCTCCTGGTTGGCTTCTCAGTAGGGAGCAGTAGTCTAGGACAACCAGCCCTGCACTACCCCCCCACCTGCATCCTAGACATAGGCATGATAAGTAAATGGCATGTGTTCAGGATGCGGAGGGCTGTGGGGAAAGGGAACAGATGGGGGAAGGGGATGGTGGGTGCAGGAGGAGGGGTGGTTGGCTGCAGCTTTAAAGATATGAGGTGAGGATGGCCTCATGGAGAAGGTGACATTTGAGCGATAAAGGTGGAGTCTTGTGGAAGGGCATTCCAGGTAGGGAGGACCGCAAGTGCAAAGGCCCTGGGGTGGGAGCCTGCCTGGTGTGTGAGAGGAACATTAACAGGGCTGGTGTGACTGGAACAGAGGGAGCCAGGGGAGAGGATGGGAGGTGAGGGCAGAGTGGCAGATCCTGTAGGGCCTCATGGTCATGGTAAGGACTTGGGCTCTTCTCTGAATGAGACAGGAACCAGGGGAAGCTCTGAGTAGAGGGCAGACAGGCTCCTGATGTGGTTTCTCTGGCTGAGATGTGAGAGGACTAAAGAGCACATGGATCCAGCACCAGGGGGCCTAGGTCTGAATCCCAGATCTGCTGTTTCTCTGTTGGTGCAGAGTTCGGGGAGAGAAATGCTGGGAGCTCGGCTGGGACCAGGCTGGTTGCGGTGGAGGTGGTGAGAAGTGGGCAGATTCTGGGTCTGTTTTGAAGGTAGAGACAACAGGATTTTCCAGCAGAGTGGGTGTGGGAAGAGGGAAGAGAGGATGACTCCCAGCTTTTAGGTCTGAGCTGGCCCCTTTGCTTGGGCCTGTTTGCTTGTGTGTCTGTCACCCCGTCTCCCTGTCCCCTGTCCTCCAGACTTTTGATCCACATCCGTGTCAGGATGTCCACAGGAGCCCCATGGACGTAGGTGAACTTATTTATAAGTCATGTGCAGGTCTGCTATAGCCATGTGTCAAGTGCACTGTGAAACACCCACTTTTGTGTGTGCTTGCACCCCTACCCCGGAAGCCACGGAGCCCCCAAACTACCTGTTCCCCCAGGGTGAAGAGTGTCCTGTCTACAAGAGTGCACACTTGTGAACTTTCAGTGGAACTGGTCTCCCTCAGGGACACCTTGCTGGTGGCAGGGGGAGGGGTGCTGCCGAGGGAGCCATCAGGGGAGCTTGATGAAGTACCATTTTAATTATCCAAATAAAAAAATGAAAAAAAGTCATCCCTAGTCCCACCACCTAGATATAAATAACTCCTGTTTATATTTTATTTTAAAGCCTTCCTGGCTCTTCTCTGTGCCCATGTAAATGGCTGTTTAAATTATTTATTACAAAATGAATGCAAATTAATTTAGAAAAACTAGAAAATACACCTAAGTTAAAACACAAGGACAAAAGCCAAGAGGAATTTGACAAACAAGTGACTCCCATTAGTACCTGGTGTCTTTCCATTCCCATCCTCTCCATGCAGGCCCTCAGTGTGTGCCCGTGGGCAGCACTGGTCAACACATTTCTGGCTTTTTTTTTTTTTTTACATTTGGAAAAAAAAATTAAACCACATCATTTTATACCGGTTGGCAGCAGCTGCCTTTAGACACCTGAGAGGGTAACACAAACATCTTTCTCCCTGGCACTAACATTCGTCTAAAATGTCATTGTTAATGATCCCAGGATCCCAGCGCCTAGACCTTCCTGTTACTTCACTAGGTCCCTTCTTTCCAAGGTTTTAACTGATAGAAACAGCACTGCGGTCAACATCCCTGGTGCACTTGGAACTTTCCAGATTCTGCCAATGGGATAAATTCCTAGAAGTAGAATCTCAGGGTCAGAGGGAAGATCAGAGAGGCTCTGCCTTACAAGTCCTGGGTGTCCTGCTCATTTGAGTGCTGTCCTCCCTCACAATGGCTGCTACTTCCCCTTCCCCCAAACTTGCGTGGGAGTGTATATGTGTACACGCACACACACACACACATACACACATACACACATGCTTTCACACACAGGTATGCACAGACACCAAAGCCACATAGAAATGGCCTGAGTTCTGGGGATCTGAGAGCCTCCCCTGTCCTATCTGTGGTCACTTGCTCCACACAGTGGTCATTCCCATGGGGATGGGGACCTCACCCCCCTCCCCACTGTACACTCAGCACATGGAACAGAGCCTGGTGCACAGTAGATGTTCAGCAGATATTTGTCTAGGGAAGAGAGGCCAGCTCCTGAACTCCCACCTTGGGGACTTAGCATTATGTGTGTGTGTGTGTAAGCACGGGGTCGCACACGCGCGCGCGCACAGAAGGGGGGATTCCTGCAGTGCCTGTGAGAACCAGGGGCAGCCCTGAGTTCCCTTCACCTTCCCTAGGAGCCCGGGCACAGGGCGTGCAGGGGGCTAGTGACACTCCAAGTGCCCTGAGTGCCTGCGACGGCCTCTCTAGAAGGCATCCATCTTTGGGGAGGGTTAAAACACCATTCTGGAACACGACAGGGACAGCCTGTGGTGGAAGTGGTTGTTTTAATGCCCTTCATGAGCAAAATGATTTTTAACTGTCTGCAATTTTCTATGGCCCCCCAAATTGTTTCTGAGATGGGACAAGGGTGTGCAAGCCCAGAGCCTGCAGAGATACCTTCTAGGCAGAGGCCTGGAGACTCCCTTTCCCTCTACCGCACAGCCCTGAGGCCATTCAGGCCACCTGCCATGGCCCTCACACAGCCCCCTAGGACAGGCCTACTCCTCCATCTCCTTGGCTCAGCTCCACCAGCCTGCTCCTCCTCTACGAGGCCTCGCTCCATCTCCTTCCTCCCTCACTGCCTTGTACCCTGGTCCTGAATCTGTTCCCCTCCTCCCCAAAGCCAGCCATCCTAATGTGTTTACT